GGTTTGTTGTGCGGGTTTTCCATGTCACTATTACCCATATTATGGTCATTTAGTTTCGGGCAAAACCTACGTCACCAAAAAAATAAAAAAAAAAAAAAGAAATAAAAAAAAAAAAAAAAAATATAAAAAAAAAAACAAAAAAATATAAGAAAAAAAATATTAAAAAAAAAAAAAATAAAAGAAAAGAAAAAAAAAAAAAAAATTAAACAAAAAAAAAAAAAAAAATCAAAAAAAAAAAAAAAAAAAAAAAAAAAAAAAAGAAAAAAAAATAAAAAAAAAAAAAACCCTTTGAATCTCATCTTCAATGTTACTTCCAATCTGCTATTTAGATATGTCACTTGCGGGAACAAAAGTGTCCAAATTCGCGAGGACAGTGAGGAACTTCTTTAGCCACAGGGTCACGGTGGAAAATTGTGTACTATGATGGATTCCACAATGCACCACGCTGGGGTCCCAGATTTTTTTCCTATGGCACACCCACCACACAGACCAATTCACTAACATCTAGGCTTATCAGCCTTTTCCTGTGAGTTGTGGCCGATCTAGGATTTTATGCGTACTAGTACGACAAAACCCTACGCGTATAAGAATTATAGTTCGCGAAAATCCCTCTAAAGGGTTAAAGACACAGCAATCAACTCACATGGCCTCACTTGATACTGGAGTTCCGCAGGGGAAGTGTCCTTGGTCCCCTGATCTTCATCAATATACATCATGATCTTCCAAGACGTATCCAACACCTGAAACCATATCTCTGACTGACGACAAACTTATGTCAATCTCTCACCCTAATCTTGCCATCCTCAACACCATTGTTAACGATGGAGCTGATCCAAAATATCGACTGGTGACAGCAATAAATTATGCTTAACACTGACAAAACCTACTGTATTATGTTTGGTAGCAGAGCAGGAGATGCACAAATTAACATTATAGATCGACAAACACCTTATTACCAGGACATAATGAGGGAATTCCTAGGCCTATACCTTGACAACAACCTGAATTCAGCACCATATCCAACACATAATCAAAAAAGTAGACTCCAAAACAGTTGGGATCCTCTCCATGATACGATATAACTCCGTGCCGCAATTGCCTTCTCACATTTACCACTAACTTTATTTATCCATACCTCACCTATGCTATTTTTGCTTGGGGATCAACTGCAGCAACACACCTAAGCCAATAATAACCAACAAAAAGCTTGCAGTAAGAATAATCACTAAAATCCCATCCTGGGCAACACACCCCCCCATCTTCATAGATCTAGAAACTTACTCCCTGTTCAGTACATCCACACTTACTACTGTTGCAGATTACATCTACAGGGCCTTAAACTCCAATTCAACCTTGACCTAAATTGCTTTCTTGATAGTTGTGTCCAGAGCCCACAAGCTACACCAGACACAAACTTCTATACGACATTCCCATGTCCGACTTAAACCTTCTACAAAAAATTCATTGGATGCAAAAGGCACTCTAAATATCTGGAACACCTACTGAGAACTCTAGAACTGCAGACACATTCATCACCTTGTGTGATCTTAAATACTACCATCATGATCGTTAGAAAACCAGTGACACCTCTGCTGTGTGTATGATAAACCCCATCAACTAATTTACACGGAATACCACCTGGTGGTTCACAGCTTACACTCACTCACCCATTTAACCATAAACAGAAAATATTAATCTCAATCTTAAGAATTATATGAATCATATGATACTCCAATACTGAAAACTATTGTACTGTTGCGCCTGAAAAAAACAAAAGCATTAACATTGATAATACTCACAAATATTATTTAGTCACTTAGAACATTTATACCAACTTACCTCATAATTTGTAATAGTTTTAAAATAAAGAATTAAACTAAGTCTCTCCCGAATAATTGGCCCTAGCCATGCTAGGCGTTCCTAGTGGTACAACTCTGTAATATTATTTAGGAACATAAGAACCATAAGAAACATAAGAAACGAAAAGGAACACTGCAGAGGCATAAGGCCATGCGAGATGGTCCAATTGCCCGAACCGGCTTAAAGCCAATTGACACCATACCTAGTCAGGTCAGGGTTCCACATTGAGTTAATGGTGAGGAACACGGCAAACCGATACCCTGTTAGCACAAGCATATCAGGTCTATTCACACCCACCTACATGATACTCATGTTATTTATCCTAACCTATTTTTAAAGCTACCACAACGTTACTTGGCCTCTTAACGGGTACTTGGGAGTTTGTTCCACTCATCCACAAAACTCTATGACCAAACCCATAGTACTATCCTATATCCCTCCTGAATCTGAATTTTTCAACTTAAAACCCATTGCTGCAGAAGTCCTTCTAGGCTAAGATATTTTCAGCACACTATTTTTCATCCCTTTATTTTTCCTGTCTTCCAATTTAAACCTCAATCATATCCCCCATTTGATTCTAAGTCTTTCTTGGAGAGTGCAGTTTCAGGGACCTTAGTCTATCCTCATAGGGGAAGGTTTTCTGATCACATGGGATCATCTTTGTCATCTCCTTTTTGTACAATTTTCCAGAGAAGATTTATATCCCCATTCTGTAATACGGTGACCAAAACTGTGCAGCCTAATCTAATGAGGCCTAACCCAAAGGATGTATAGATGTTGAAGAAAACCTGGAGGACTCCTATTATTTATGCTTCTTGATATGACTGTTTCGGATGGGTTTATTACTGTGGACTCACGTTTATCGGCCGTAATCCGTTCCTGTTGTCGGCCGAATAACTGAATTAATATTTCCATAAGAATTAATGAAAATAAAATTAAATCGTTCAAACAAAAAGATTCACAAAAAATTTTTTTTTTTTTTTACATTTAAGTATTTTTACAATTATGAATACGTACACTACCTTTATTGATGGCTAATGCTGCTTCTGGAAGATAGGGAGGAGGAAAAGAGGGAGGAGTTTTGTGTGGAAGGGAAATCCAGTCCATGAAGACTTTAGGTAGCTAATGCCTTCTCTGGGGTTATTCCCTTCTCTGTCTTTTAATGCCACTAGAACCTGCTCTTTGAGAGTCACTGGACCCCTGTCTCACAAATAACTGTTCAGAGTGATCTGTTTTGGGCATCTCTAAGATTTCCCTTGTAAGTGGGACAGGTTTTTTGTTTGTCACATTAAATGTTGCAGATATAGCTTGTTTCAGCTTTGTAAGGGTGGTGTTTCTCTACAAAAGCTTTGCACCCCTGGTCACGATTGCACACACCTCTTTAATCTCTGAAGAAGGCACTTCCTTCACTCCTCTTCTCCATCCTCTGAAGCTAGTTTCTCAGCTGCAGTCTGTTGCTTTCAAGTTGAAGCTCTTGCTGCTCTTCAGTGGGTAAGCTGCTTTCACATGTGGTCTTACACAACTCTTCCACATCCTCACCACTCACCTCCAACCCAAGGACTTCCCCAAAAGAATAGAGTCACAGGGTCGGCGGGTCAGGGTCACGGTGAGTCTCTAACCCTTCAATTTCCCTCCTTGGACACAATCTGGCCACAGTTTTCTCCAAAGCAGAGTTCAAAGTACTGGAAGTCACTCCTTCCGCCTTTCATGGAGCAATGGTTACTCTATTTTACAGTTGCACTGCAAGAAAAACCACTAAATACAATGTGTATACAAGCGAAATGGTTTGAATGTTTGAGCAGAAGCTTCCTCAGCCACCGAGAGACAAAGCCAAACTGAAGCGCAAGCTGCATAAGCGTGGCGAAATGGATGCTATCCAAAACGGTCGTATATACCGAGCGCCGATAACCGAGCTGGGCCGAAAACTAAACAGGCAGATAAACGGGGTTTTCCATGTATATACATCTTACAAGCCAATGGTGTTTTGCGTTCATATACTCAAAATTCTAGCGGCTTCAATCAGCTCAGGGGAAAACTGGTAGGCCCACATGTGAGAGAATGGGTTGTGGGGTCAGTGTGTGCTGTATAAAAAAAATCCTGTAGCATGCAGTGATAATGAGGGAAAATAAACGCCATCTGTGTTTTGGAATAAAACACCAACTTTGAGTGTTCATTTTTCGTATGAGTTTTAATGGTTATTATTTGTTTCGTAGTACATTTGATAGAATGGGAAACATATTATAGTAATGGAAGCGGATTTTGATTGGTTTTACGTATGAAAAGGACCTTGAAATGAGCTCATAGTAGTGGTAATGTTTTTGATGTTTGCAATGTTCAAGTGTAAACAAATGACGTCATTGTCCAATAAAGTCCAACTAGCCCATTCTAATATGCAGTCATGAATGAGCTGATATACTTATCAATTATTACAATATTGCAGTAGTCTGCATACTTCAGTACTATACTTCTATTTTTTGTTTGAAAAATTCTTAAAATAGAAAGACATGAGTATATAAGAGGGGCCTGGAGACATGACTGATGAACAAAGAAAAATGTTATTTTGAGCTAGGTATGTCTGCATTGTTCATTATATGTAGACCCTATTTTGAAATTGGCATTTTTTTTAATTTGCAGAAATTGGCCAAACTGACAGTTTCTGACACTTTAATGGTAGTTGACATGGTAAATTGGGCAAGTTTCATTGTTACTCATTCGATAGTTAGAAACAAATGAAGTTTCTAAAGAAAATAGCTATAGAGGTTTGGTCAACTGGAAGAATGGAATTAGCCGAAATTAGGCATCCAAAGTGGGTGAAATCGCGCTGATTCGTATATACGCCCAAGGTTGCTAATTCAGATGAGCGTAATTCCGTAAGTTTTCAATCAAATGCATACTTTTGGTGTCTTTATTTCGGAAAATAAAAGATTTATATCTTTCTTAGATTTTTTTTTTTTTAAATACTTTGCGAACCAGAGGGACAACCTCAGGGGTTGGGGGTTGCGACGACAAAGGGTAAAGTGTGCCAAGTAATGTTTACATGCTACTTGGGTGTGAGGTACTAGTCTGCCATATAACTTTTTTGGGGTCACATTATAAAAGTGGAATAATGGTAACAAGATGGCTGTGAAATTCTAACATACACTGAGCAGTAGAAGGATCAATTAGTCTCAATATGGTTGTGACACGGTGTGACAACCACATATCTGTCCAATGCCTCTAGCTGATGAGCTAGCTTGGAAGGGAGACACACCCACACTGTCCAATTTACAAACCGTTACAATTTCATCACTGAAAAGATAAGTGAAAATTATTTAACCTAATGTTGTATATATAACTGTTTTATTATTAAACATATCCAAAGTAATAAAAAATAACACTATAAGACAATCTTATTACAAAACTATCTACTAGATCAGGATCGAGACATGTGTGTATTTAGAAATGGCTCCACAGTAAAATTTATGTTTCTCCAATTTAACCTTAAACTGTCCGAACACAGATCTTCGTTCTCGTGTGGGGGGGCTCCGAACCATAGATCTACATTTTTATCTACATGCTTTCAAATGGGGAAAATCAAGGTTGAGCGTACGCAGTAAAGTATGATCTACGTTTGACAGTTTAAGGGTTTTTTAAAAATGATTGTGAGGGAAAAGTTCATTAGATACGGAGTGGGGAAGCATGAATGTGTAGTAGTGGTGGTGGTGGTGGTGGTGGTAGTGTGTTGGGCAGTTTTGACTTATTCTGATAAAGTGTATGCATCATTACACTATCCCCTCCCCCCCTCCTCCACACGGTGGAGTTGACGTGGTGTTTCCATCCGACAAGTTGACAGGTCAATTGAATTTTGGCTCCTATCATAGTTTGTATCTAATCCATTCCGTTTTATATAAATTTTGTGTTTTGTTTCAATTTAGTTTAAAAACAAGAGCTTCACCTTGTTTAGGTTTATATTTGGTTATTCAACCTGACTAATATGGACTTAACAGAGAGTATTGTAATCATATTTGTCCTCAAGCTTCTTTTAAAAGGCCTCGTATGCTTATAAATGTGAGAGTGATTTCTTTCTTGAATGGTTTGTAATTTTCTGTTTCTTTTTTTAGGTCATTGTTTGTTGGATCGGGTAATCTGACACAGGCGAGATATGAGCGGGCAGCAAAGATCTATATTAAATCAGAGATATAATCTTGCATCTCAGTACCTAAACGGGTCTCCTTCCGCTTGTTGCTGACACGCAATCCTCTTCATACCATCCTAAAGGCCGTTCTCATTGTCATCCCAACAAAATTTCATTGTGGTTCATGACTGGCAACTCTACTGCTTTGGATGGGCTGTCAGAGGATCCCAGTACCTCAGTTCTTCAAATCTCTACATCATGTTGAGGTTACTTCTATTTTCTACAGGTGTCACAACAGGTCACATCCACCAGTCATCAACACAGTTCAGTGCCTCCAAACCATGATTCAGAACTAGGTGGCCCAGAACATCGCACGACAATGCTATTTTACTCAAATTTAGGTCCACTACACATACATCTACACGTTTATGCATACACACTCATCTGAGTTTTCTTTGATTTTGTCTTTATAGTTCTTGTTCTTATTGCTTTTCCTTTTATATCCATTGGATATAAAAGATAATGTGATGGAAAGCAGGGGGAAGGGGGGGATAGTGTTGGACGTGGGTTGGTTATTTTTTTTGTATGGAAGGAGGGGATATGGTATCCTTTGGATTGGCAGAGAGATGTATATTCCTTGATATATAAAGGGAAGGGGGACAAGAGAGATTGTAAAAATTATAGAGGAATAAGTTTACTGAGTTAAAGTAGTAGGGTTGGGACCAGCAACCACCCAGGCGAGGTACTACCGTCATGCCAAGTGATTGTAAAACGAAAAAGCCTGTATGTTTTACATGTGGTAGGATTGCTGGTGTCTTTTGGTCTGTCTCATAGATATGCAAGATTACAGGGTACGTTTGCTACTTCTACTTACACTTGGGTCTCACTACACATGTGCACATAGCATTATATATATCACACCCCTCTAGGTTTTCTGCTATTTTCTTTTAGATCTTGTTCTTGTTTTTTTTCCTCTTATTCTCCATGGGGATGAGGACTGAATTCTTACTCCGTAAGCCATGCGTGTTCGCGCTAAGAGGCCGACTAAAATGCCGGGAGAAGGGTGCTATTAACCCTTATCCTGTATATATTACTAAATGTACGAGGAGAAACTTTCGTTTTTCCTTTTGGGCCACCCTGCCTCGGGTGGGTTACGGACCGGGTGTTGAAAGAACGAAGAAGTTTACCGAGATATACCAGGTTAAAAGTTGGGTTACAGTAGGGTTGATTATTGAAAGAATTTGTGGGTTAGGCCAAGAGAGTAGGATTGAGGATGAAGCAAGGAGCTTTAGAGTGGGTAGGGGATGTGTAGATTCAAGGTTGTTTACATTGATGCAGGCATGCAGTGAGCGTGTTTGATAGGTGTGTAAGGGAGCAAATGGTTTTTAATACTTGACGTGCTGTTGGAGTGTGAAGCAAGTAAATTTTGGAAGGGGTTCAGGGATACCGGGCACAGGCCGGAACTTGAGTCTGGAGATGGGAAAAGTACAGTGCCTGACTCTGTAGGAGGGGTGTTAATGTTGCAGTTAAATACTGTTGTGTAAAGCACCCTTCCTCTGGCAAGGAACGTGATGGACCAAGTGGTGATGATGGTTGAAGTTTTTCTTTTTCGGGCCACACCTGCCTTGGTGGGAAATCGGACAGTGTGATATAATTAAAATTAATAATGTGTGATCTGTATTTAAATAATGGTAGGGAAGTTTTAATTGCATTTAATGGATTTAGGAAAGGCCATATGAAGAGTGGATAGGGGGAGCAATGTAGCAGATGTTGCTAGTATATGGAATAGGCAGTAAGTTACTAAAAGTTATAAAGAGTTTTTTTGAGAGATAGTGGGGCTCAATTTAGGGTGTGTAGAAGAGAGCGAGATTACTTCCCGGGACGTTATAAGTAGATTCTTAGACAGGGATGTGTAATGTCACCATGGTTGTTTATATATATTTATGGATGGGGTTGTAAAAGAATTAAATGATAGGTGTTAGGAGAGGGGTGGGATTAAATAATGGGGGCATCAAATACAGTGGACCTCGGCTACAATTTTATCCGTTCCTGTGCTTGTCCTTAACCAATTTATATTCAGCCGGAATTAAGTTTCCCACAGAGATAATGGATATTTCAATTTAATCCTTTCCAGACACCAAAGTATTAAAAAAAAAAATTTTTTTTCACATGAAATATACAATTTCTCTACACAGAAAACAATGATACCATGAAAGTATAACTACTACTACATGAGAATAATTACTACATGAAGAATAATGAACTTACTTTAGAAGATGTATGATGAGTGATGAGATGGGAGGGAGGGGAAGTGATGGAGGTGTATTATTGTTTGGAAGGGGAAATCTCCCTTCCATAAGGACTTTAGATAGCAAGTCCTTTTCCAGGGTTACTTCCTTATTTTTTTAATGTCACCGGGAACAAGGTGGCAGTCACAGGACTCTGTTCGCACCAATAATCTGTCCACAGCTCTCTAACCTTGGCGTTCCTTTAAGATTTCCTAAATGGGCCCATCAACATTGTCATTGTAATTGGTCACCAGCACAGATTGCTATATCTGTGTCAGGGTGATGTTGTTCCATAAAGGACTTGCACCTTTTTGTCCACATTGTACAAATGTAATTAATCATTGAAGAAGGCAACTTCCTCCATCTCTCTCCCCTCCTCTGAGCAATTTCCTCAGTTGTGGTCTTTTGCTGTTTGCAGATGCTATTGCAGCTCATCAGTGGTTAGTTCTTCATCGTTCGTCCTCCACCAACTCTTCCACATCTCCCCACTAACCTCCAACCTCATGGGACTTCCCCAATGACTCAAGTAGATTCCACAACTGGTTTTAGGCTCCTCAGGATTAGACCCAAACCCTTCAAAATCCCCCCCCCTTTATCTTGTAAAATTGTGGCCACCAATTTCCTCCATGCAGAGTTCAAAGTCCTGCAAGTCACTACCTCCATAGCCTTACTATAAGGTTGATGCAACTGAGGACACTAGTGATTTTTCCAAAACTATCTTTAGGGTAAAATTCAGTGTCTGAGGTCACTTCAAAGCACTTTTTTGGAACACTGCTTGGTGTACAGTTTTTGAAATTTTGAAATGAGCTGTGGTTCATGGGATGGAGAAGAGAAGTGGGTATTATGGAGGCAAAACTTCATCTCTTGATTAAGCTCCAACTCCCCGCAAGTTCGCTTGGCAAGTCTGCGAGTGTATGAGCAGGTGACACGGTCTAATATCCAGCCTGATGACCCTTGAGGTCCTCCTATTTTATTTTCAATGAGGTAATTTTTCACAGTTGGGGCCAAACATTCAGTGATGAGAAACCAATCATGGAAAATGTCCTCCTTCAAGTGACCCAGATGCCTTACGCTGCTTTTGCCCTCCAGACATCACACAAAAATATGGCCTTGTGAGAATATACAAGAAATGTTTTTCTTGAACACTCTGGGAGTTTCAGGAGTGATAACTGAGTAGAGGCTTAACTTTTTGCTTTGCCCCACTAGAATTGACTACAAAACACGAGTAAGTGGTCCTGTTTGGTATTATCTTCCAAAAAAGGGCTCTTTTGTCCATAAATATAAACACGTGGTTTCATGGTTTTAAATTTTTCAATGTTATGTACTAATTGAATTTCCTGCACTTATTTTTCAGCCGCTTTCTTTTTTGGTCCAAATGGCAGCCCTCACTAGCCTATATCATCATCTGTTTGCCACTACGAGTTCTTTAAGAATCTCTCAACCAACCTTTGCTGGCCTTAAATTCACTATCATCCCCCACTAGTTGCGGGCTTTTTTTTTTAATTTAAATCTCTGCAACGCCCTTTTCACAAATGATTGACGTGAAACATTACTCCTGATAATTGTTTTTTTTTGTTCCCCCAATAACAGTCTCTTCACATTTCGAGTATTTGCATTTCTGGTTTAGTATACTTGCACCTTTTGCAAAAACACTTCTTTGATTCCCTTTTCGTTACCCAAATTTTAAGTGAGGTTTTAATGGGGTTTTGTTTAAAAACCGGCCAGCTCAGAGCCACACACTCCACTTTCATACTTTGCAATTATCTCTTTTTTAAATCGACTGTACACCTCCCCCTTTCCCCCACAGGGTTGGCACTAGAAGCTTTTTTGGGGGCCCATGGTGGCTTTTTAGA